GTTTGCAAAGGATGGAAAAGGTGTTATTTCTGTCTGTGGGAAGAAGGATCRGAGCTGCCAGTTCTAGATTTAAACTATTCTTGTACCATTTTATATTCTCTAAGCAGAGGAAACTCTGAAGGCAGATTCAGTGGAGAAGGATCCCAGTAAATATAATATTATCCAGATGGCTTTCATTCCATTAGTGTCTGACTGCAGGAGAACTCTCTAAACTCCTGGCACAGCCAAAGCCTTAGTAACTTGATAACGATCCACTAAAATTTGAGAACTCTTATCTTCTGAGATGCGAGCCAGTCATTGTTTTAAGGGAATTCAGAAGAACCCTTTTTGGGGTCAGTTGGATGTGATTAAATTTCTTCTTCCTTTTCTGTGGGGATCTGGACTGTCTGCCTTGAAAGATGTTGCACTCACTGAGATGATCCTTCAGTAGGGCCCAGCWTGGTAATTCCTATTTTTTCTGCTGTAAATGTGGGAAGTTCTTGAAATTCTGTGAAATATTTTTGAGTCTGTGAGGAATGGCTCCTGACTGAAGCTGGTTGTGTTTTGGAGGAACAGTTTTGTGTCTCTTCTAAATCAACGTCTCTGTTGTTATTTTATTCACATATAATYATATRCTCCCAAGRTATTTTTTTCKCCCCCCTGCTTSYAGAAGGAYTTTARTGTTTGAGAATCCTAATTGTAAATRTGCCACTGTTTTCCACATCAGCACAGCGTGATTGAGGTTTTGGATACTCTGTCCTGCCTCAGAGTYTTTTCCCTTCTCCAGTTAATGAGACTTCACTCTGATTTCTTTTTGACTCTGTTGCCATCCTGGAGATTTTTCCATCCTCCTGACTTCAAGCCATCGGGTTTGGTTCCAGCAATAAATTCAAACATTAGCTCACTGCACTGAMAACCTTTCCCTTTTTGTTTGAGTCCCTTGCAAAACCCCACACTGATCTTTAAATTTAGATTTGGGATTCTGCTCTGCAGGAGCCTCTGTATCATTCCTTTAAGTCAAATAYGGGGAGTTACCATGGGCTACCCCACTCTGACCATAAATATTGTGGTATTTCTCCACGTTTTAGTTCAATCAGACCATTTGGAAAGCCTGGGGACAGGCAGGGTGGATTTTGCCGTTCCCACCTGCTTCCATTGGGACAGGATTTTCTTCCCTGCTCTAGAAGAAGGAGAGCCTTGTTTAGAAGAACAAGGTTTTCCTTTCTTGCCAGTGCTGTCACTGTTGGCTCCCACTTTGTTTTGCTGTAGGAGAACGAAAGCAGTGAAAAATAGCAGGGGAGAGGTGGGTCAGCAGGGAAAATGTTTTATTCCTCCTTTTTCCTTCTTTCCTCCGGGATGGAAGGGACTCTGAGCAGTCTGGGCTAGTGGAAGGTGTCACTCCCTGTGGCAGGGAGGGTGCAACAAGATGGGATTTTTCCAGCCCAAACCATTCTGTGATTCTGTGATTCTGTGATTTTTTTCAGCAGTCTTGTCCCGGATCCTCCTGGGGACAAAGGCAGGAGGAAGGAATTTGACAGAATGCTTGTTTTTTTTTCTGGGAAACCCCACTTCTTTCACCTGAGTTAGCAGGTGCTCAGTGCAAAGGAAGGATGACATGATTTTCTGAATTTTTTGGAGCTGTCTCCTTTTTGTGTACAATTAACTCCCCTTTGCYGAAATTATCTTGATCCCAGTGCTCCTAGAAATCCCCAGAAGAACCCACTTTGGGGAATGTTTTCTTTGTGATGGGTATCCCTGAAAGTCTGTGGTCCCCCAGCTTCTCCTCGAGGATGCTACACATGCTCTCCCCATGCCAGTCATGTCCAAAATCATTCTAAGGAAAASACCTTTTCCAGGAAAAAGTTATCCCAAAACTTGCTGTAAATTCTCTGCCAAGTGCTGCTTGGCCTCCTCAGTTATGTCTAAATAAAACAATGTGGTTTAGCTCAAAGGAGAGGGGGAAAAGCCCATAATAAAGTCTTTTTTTTCTCAGAGCACCCTCACCCAGCTCCAGCCTGATCCCATGGGCATGGAGTGAATGTCCAGCTCCAAACAGAGAATCCCAGACAATTAAGAGATGGAATATTGACAGCATTAACAGTATCAGACATCACTGTGATTCTTTACAAGGTGTGCAGGAGAGGAGAAGTTCACATTTCACTTCTCAGTCCTGTGCACATTCCCAGTTTAAGGGTGGCAAAAAGCTGGACAAAGCCGTGGTGGCCCTGCTCTTCCAGGAAAACCGAGGGAGAAAACCAAGGGTCTGTGCCCCCAGCGAGCTGCTGCTGGAATATGACAGCATCCCGAGGCTGGATCACTTCATGTGAGGAGTTTAATGAGCTGCCAAAAGCTTCTAAGTGTCAGGGAGACCGAGGAAAATGGCACTGTGCAGAACAGGGATGTGGAGACAGAAATTAATTCCTTAGCTCRCAGCATCTCCCCGTTAATTTTCCATGAAGGTTTCTCCCCTTGCCCTCCTGCAGTGTTTCCCAGACTGTGAAATGATCAGTGATTCCCTGGAGGCAGATGGGTGCCCAGGTTAAGGGCYACAGGGATGAGGACGGCGTTTCATTTTCTAGGGAATGAATAATTTCATTTATTTCCTTCGTGCGATGTGAGCCCAGCGCTGGTGTTTCATTCCGTGGAACTGCATCTCCTCTTTCTGCCTCAGTCCTGTGATAATTCTGCTCATCTGGTGARGAGTCAGCGAGCAGAGGAAGGCAAAGCTGTTCCAGAGCATGGCCAGCTTGGGAGAAAGGAAATAGTTGGATAAAAGCATGAAAGCCGATCCTCAAGCTAGAAATTTTGCAGAGAAACAAAGCTGGGTTGTTTTTTTTTTCAGCAAAATAGCAATAGAAGTCRTTCTAGTCAGCCTGGATAGAGCAACAAATAATAAAGAATTATTTCTCCAGTTTGCACAGTGGTGCCAGTGGTGGGGTTTGGAAAATCAGGACAGCAGGATGAGAACATCCTTCCTGACATTGCTGCTTGCATTCCAAAGTCTGCTCCCCTTCAGACACAGGATCACCAGGCAGTCTGGGCTGTCCAGGGTTTGATTGGAAAAAATCTGTTGAGATTAAAAAAAGAAACAGAAAGGGGAAAAAAAAACCTTTCTCCTTGCCATTCCTCCCAAAGCAAGTTTTGTGTGGAAGCCTTTTATAACCCTGGCACAAGGGTGTTTTTGCAGAGTGGAAATTCCTTCCCGAAAGGTGTTATTTCTGGTGCAGACTCCGTGGCATTTGCTGCTGGCTGACCACAGGGGCCTTGAGTCATCCCCAGGGTTTGATTGAGGCYCTCTGCCCAGCAGTGTCCCCACCGTGGGGGTGGCAGGGAAGTGGGATATGGCCAAAATCTTTATTTGGTGGCAGATGGAATCACTTGGAAGATGAGCTTTTCCAGTGCTCCTGAGCATTCCCCATCTAACTTTATTTCTATATTTAATTCTGGCGCTTTTAGCCTCCCTGTCCTCATCACCTCTGCGGAGCTTTGAATCCCATGCTAGAGCTTCTGCAGAGTAGACAGAAAGGATAAATAATTCATTTGGGCTCCTCCCTGAAGTACCTGCGTTTAAAGGGTGCTAATGACTCTTTTCCAGGCCAGATAAGATTGCTGAAAGGCATCTCCCAAATGCCTGTTGACAATTCCTGCTCTTCCCTTAGGGAAGTCAATCTGAATTGGACAAACTGGAATGATTCATCCCATCCCTTCCCTTTCAGAAAGTCTTTGGAAGGATGAACAACGGGGTGATTTTCAAAGTGATGATTGTGGCAACCCTGATGTTCTGGTTCTTTGACATAAAAATAAACTGGTAACAGCAGTGACTCACTGTCCTGTTAAAAACACCCTGGCCCTGGCAATTCTGGGTGGATYAGGTGCTTAAAACACCTCTGGTTTTGTGGATTCTGCTGCACAGCTCAGTAGAGGAGGAGAAGAGGGGAAAATAGTGGGTGTGTTTGTAGAGGGATAATGGCAGAACCTTTCAGGATGCACCTTGCATCTGGGAAAATGGGAACAGCACAGTGTTTTTACTGAGTGGACTCATTCCAGCCTGAAGGGTGTTCAAAGTCGTGACAAAGGGAGTTCTGCTTGCAAATCCCTTTATGGATAAATGGTTTCTGACAGGATTGCTGCAGCTCACACGTGCTGCACTCACACACATACACAGGCACGGCTTTGAAAATGCCTTTCGTGGCTTCAGCTGCTTTCATTAATGCCCAAATCAGTTCACATTCTCTCTTACGTGTCTTTTTCTCTCTGAACTTTGCAAAGGAATCAGTCCTTTCCCCCCTCCGTTCTTTCCTTTTGAATGGTTAAATGGAAAAGGCTTTTTTAAAATTTTATTTCGTGGCATTAATGAAGTCATTACTGGGATGGGAGAGGTGTTTTCATGACAGCTGGCACTTCCAAGCCTTCCACTGGGCTGGCAGGTATCCTTGGGGACAAATCAAGCAAAATAGATCAGTCTGGCTGTGTACTGGGAGGGTGGATGGGATCTGTTGTGTGTGAGAGCGTTATGGTACCTATATATTAATGCATCATTTCAGTGCTGTGTTGACTGCTGTCAGAGGGGTTGATCATGAGCTGCTGCTGTTATCAGCATGTTTATATCTCTTTATAATCCTGCAACCCTTCATGCTGAGCAAAACCTCACTGTTCCACCAGTTCTGGGGTCTGGAGGGTCAGGTGGGCAAAACTGAGGGTCCATGGGATGGTGCTAATGTCAGGATTAATGGAGGTAGGACTGAATTAAACTAGTTTAAGTGAAGTTTTAAACCATCAAGGATATTTTTAGTGTTCCTAGTGGGAGGAGCATAAAAACAACAATAAATAATCCTGTGTCTGTAGATTATTTTGAACACACACGGTTATCACAAAGCTGTTCAAAGCGGCTCCTTCCCGCTGCTGTGACCTCTCCCTCCTCAGCTGGGATTTATCCACACCACCCTCCCCCTTGCACACCCAGGAAGCTCTAAATTGTCCTCCAGCCAGTCCAATAACAGTTTTSCCCCCTGGTTTTGCAGCCCCTTCATGCTGCTGCCGCCGCTGATGGAGTGGATGCGCGTGGCCATCACCTACGCCGAGCACCGGCGCAGTCTGACCGTGGACAGCGACGACGTCCGGCAAACGGCCAGGCTGCTCCTGCCGGGGCTGGACTGCGAGCCACGCCAGCTCAAGTACGTGGGCTAAGCTTTAGAAACCTCCTCCAGTCCTTGGAGCTTCTTAAAACCTGCTTTTATTGCATTTCCCCGGAGCCAGATCTCACTGTTCCCTACAGGAGACAAGCGTTTAACCTTCTGGTGCTTAGAGAGATAAAGGAACTTTGGCCAAACATTTGGCAGAAACATTTCTGTCTTTCTCAAAGTTATATGTGAAATACAAGTGTTTGGATTTAGTTTAGGGTTTGTTTTTTTTTAATGCCACGGGCTTAGTTACAAGATTATTCTTTGCTTTTTAAGACACCTGAAATGAAAGATCCAAGCTAGTGAAAAACCCATTGTTTCCTGAGCACATTATTTGACCCTTTAAAGCAGTCATTTTGTATCCAGCGTGTTCAAGGGGAAAGGAGATCTTGGACTTATTTATTTATTTATTTTCTTGTCCCTAGCTTGTTGTGGGATAGGAACAATGTACRAAGACCAAGTGCCATCCCTTCAAAAACTTCTATTTTTCCTGAGGTTCACTGGATTTCAAGTGGAATCATTTTATTTCACTTTTTTTTTGATAGAATGAATTCTTCTTTTGCTTTTTACTACTATATAAAATCATTGCATCTTATTCTAGGTTATATTGTAGGTTGTGATGCCAGTTAGAACAGGGTTATGGCAGCCTAGCTGTAGGATTTTATATAAGGTTCATCCCTAATCTCCTGTGTGAGGTGATGAGTGGTTTGCTCCTCTGGCAGGCTGTGCAGACTTTCCAGAGGAGGATGGCTGTGCTGAAAGCATCTCATTTATCAGAGGAGCCTGGCAGGCTGATATCTCACTCACTCACTCACTGAGAGTTTGCTCAAGAGCCTGTGCTGGAAACCAGACGGCTCCTGGGGAAGGCATTCACCCCAAAATAACATCAAAGGGCTGAGCCTCCCAGTGACCAGCCAAAATGGGAAACCCCCAGGTGAGAAGTGATCCTTTGGTGAAGGAGACACACTTCCAGGGCTGGAATTCAGGACAGTCTGAGCAGACAGCCAGAGGATTTACAGTAATCCCTGGGCTCCTTCCAGATGACATAAAGGTCGCCTTGATAGCCACCTAAAGGATAAGGATTTAGTAGATCTTCACAGAAATGGTAAAGCACTTCATTTTACTGAGTCACCGGAAAAGAGTTGGGAGTGCTCCACTGCCTAAATTTGGTTCTGGTTTCATACTTTTAAAAAAATTTGCTTTTTTTTTTTGTCCCAGAAAAGAATAAGGATCCATGTCTTATTTTATGGTGCAGGCACCATCCAGGAATTCTTTTGTCTTTCCCAGGCCTGAATGCTGCTTCAGTTCTTTCCGGAGGCTGGATGCTAAAGCTGCTACGGAGAAATTCCAGCAGGACCTGGGCTTCCGCATGCTGAACTGCGGGAGGACGGATCTGATCAACCAAGCCATCGATGCACTGGGCCCCGACGGGGTCAACACCATGGATGATCAGGTGTGCCATGAAAGAAAAATACTCACAGCCCCAAAATTTCCTGTGTCAGCAGCTTGCCCCTCCCTCACTCCCTTCCCACGTGGCAAATCAATACCGGGTCGTGTTTGTTGCCTCTCTGAGGATTAAATAATTCTAGCTCATGTTTTAAGGATGAAAATGCATCCCTTAAAAATCAAAAAAAATAACTCCTTCCCAGACTGCCCCCATCCTTCAAAAAAAACCTCATCAGAGCCCAGAGAGAATCGTTTATCAGCTGGATGGGCTGTCTCAGGTTAAAGCTGGGATGGTGAATGGAAAGTCTGATAGTGCTGAGAGGATGTCARAGCAAAGTGGTTTCCTTCCAGTGACACTCCCCTTGGGCTCCACAGCCCAAATCCAGGCTGGGTCAGTGAGGTGACCAGAAGGTGTTGATGTCTCTTGGCTTTGGGGCTGGGAGTGGTTTGGGAGGAGCAGCTCTGAGAGCCCCGCCTGGCAGCAGCCAGTGTTGGATTTGTTCAAAGTCCATCATGCTGATGTGAATATTTATCTATTTTTCACCATTCCCTGCTCAGCAACACGAGCCACAGGGATTTGGTAGCTCTGGGAGTCTCTGGCTGCTTCTGCTCGTGCTGTCAGCCCCATCAAGTAACAGCAGAGTCTGTCCTCTGGGGCATCATTCAATGCATGGAATTGGCTTTTAATTTAAAAAGCGGGGGGAAAGCCACCTCTCCTAAATAAACACTCGTTACAGCTGTCACAGCAAGGAGAATGAGCTGTCACATCTGTGGGACAAGAGGATAGTGAGCAGTGGAAGGGTTGATGTTCATGTGGAGAGGTTTTCTCACAGCCAGCATTTCACTGCAGAAATCTCAGCATTTCTGACCCTGACACATCTTCCATGGCACTTCCCACGTTCCTGCAGTGTTAAGGGAAGTGTGAATGTAGACACAAATAGCAGAAATGCTGCTGGACACATGTGGATGTGTAGCTGCCTTATTTACATCTCTTTTTTCCACATCCAGTACCAGCAGCTGTGTGSTCACTGGGGTGGGTATCACACCGTAGATATTCGTTGTATTAAAGTCACTCAGGTGGCAGATTTATATTATGAAGGTTTCCCACTTCCTCTGTTATATATTTTTATAAGAAGTTCTTGCAGTTCCTGTTTCTGTAGCCCAGAGGCCYCTTGTTCTCTCCCAGGGTGTTCAGAGCCATTTCTCCATTTATATGCATGGAGATTCCTGAAAAACATCTCAGAATATGCCCTCAGAAACCTGAGTTGGARCAGAATCCTGTGTTCAGTTCAGGTTGGAACCCACCAGCACTCTGGTTTTACTGGATTTGGGATGTTTAGGACAACAATCTCTTCTCTTGGCAGGGGGCAAGCASGGAGTGCAAAACTCACATTAAAAATTGAAAAAAGAACAAGGTAGTAGTACTTTCAGTAGTACTTTCAGAACCCTGACTGGGGCTTGTGCCTGCACACCTGAGTTYTGAATTCTCATTTTATTTGTCTACAATGTGTGTGGAGCCTCCCAAGCCCTACAAAAGCCAAAATACCTCAAAATACCAGGGAGAATCTCACCCAGAAATGTCTTTACAAATGTAACTGCCCCAAAGCAGGAAGCTTGGGAATTGTGGCTGCTTTGAAAAGACACCTTTGCAGAGCCAAGAGCAGAACTCCTAGGTGAGAGTAAAATTAAGTAAAATTCCATTTTACAGCACARGTCCCATTAAGGATGGAGCTCTGTTACTGCACACTGAGCAAAGGAGAAAAAAAAAACCTGTAAAAACCTCAAATGCCTGCAATAATTAAGGGGAGGGGGCAGGAAAGCTGTGGGATGTGAGCAGGAATGGGTTTTACCAGGCCATTTCCTTTCTGTCCTTGGCCACTTCTGGAATGAACTCCATAAGTAAGGCTCGTTTTTCTCATAATTCATCTCTGAGCCGTCATGGTTTGCTGGTTAAGTAGAGGGAGAGAGATTTATGGGATTGAAATGCTGAAATATTGTGGCAAATAGGATTTTAGCAATGGGGAGAAGTTGCCAAATGAATTCATCTTCCRCATTTTTGTGTTGCTTTCTGCCTTCAGTTCATTTGGCTACAAATGAGCCAAGAAATGGCATTTCTTCATTGGCAGCCTTGGGAAGGCTGGAGAACTGTGGACAATACAGGGCTGGGATTTCCAGTGATCCTTTTTRTGTTCTTTCAGCCTTGTCCAGCAATGTTTTATCCAGGTCATTTTCCAGGATCAGCTGTGCCTGCTCTGCACATAGAAAAGAAAACAAAAATATTTTATAAAACACACATATGCTGTCCCTGAATATACTTTGCATATTAAGATTCAAACTGTGTCTGTGACAGCATCACTGTTGATACGGATAGAAAGATAACTTTGGTTTGGTTTTTCTATTCTGAAGAAAAGATTTCYTCTCTTTTTTCCTGAAGGGTATGACCCCCCTCATGTACGCCTGTGCTGCTGGAGATGAAGCCATGGTCCAAATGCTCATAGATGCTGGAGCAAATTTGGATATACCAGTGAGTAACCCTCTGCCTATAATTACTGATGGGAGGGGCTCTGAAATCTCTCCTAGCAGCTGAAGGCTTCAGTTCTGGAGGCTTCAAGCGAGCCATTGAAACCATCAGAAACGTCACTTCAGGRATTTGGGAGCGGGGAAAAAGCCTTCAAAACCCCTCAGAACACTCACTGGCTCCAATTAGGATTGGCACTGGCAAGCCTGACAGGCATGGGGAGGGGGAGGGAAGGAGCTGCCCCTGGGAGAAGCCAGGGAGCCCATTAAAAACTCCCAGGGGACGSGACAGAGGGACGGGTGGTGGCAGCATCCTCTGAGTGTCCCAAGTCCCTGTTCCCCGGGTTAGGGTTAAGGAGCCATCTCTGTGCAGGGCTGTGGGAGGAGGAGGCAGTGGGGCTGCAGTGGGTAAGGAGTGCCTGTTCCTTTCTCCAGGTGCCCAGCACCTCCCCACGGTTCCCCTCGGTGCACCCCGACAGCCGCCACTGGACCGCGCTCACCTTCGCCGTGCTGCACGGCCACATCTCCGTGGTTCAGGTGAGATTCCGGCCGGGAATCCTCCCAGGAGACACTTAGGGACTGAACTGCAGCACTGTGAGCCCTCACTCACAGCCTTGCTGAGCTCCTGRCCCTCCTAAAAACCTGTGAAAAAAYGGYRTWTTTTTTAAAACGAGGAGGATGAAGATYGATGATGTAATTCCTAGCAAGGCATTGATGATGGAGTTTTATTTGTAGCCTGTGTTTTTGGGGCATCAGTAACAAAACACAGCGTGTTCCCATGTTTTCCTTCGGTTTCTATATTGCTCCAAGGCTTGCTGCTTCCAGAAGGATGCTGCACAATCATTTCTTTGGCATTAAATAAACTGCTGCTTCAYGTGGAGCAGTTACAGGTTGGCTGCTTGATTGGGAGCTTGGTGACAGTAGATATTAATTGGTTTATAAATTTGCATGTGCAAAAATCCACTGTGTGCTGATTTCTGCTCTAATGGCAGCAAATCATCTGTAACTGCACAAGCGAGGCTTAAGCTGCTGTGGGATTTGAGCCCGTGGCGTCCTCCCTGCTCCTTTTTCTGTGGAATTATCACAGAGRGGCAGCAGGGCAGGGTGGAGCCAAAATGCCACCCAAAACTTCCAGGGAAATGAAAAGCTGATCACAGCTGCYGGATTTAATTTACCTTCTGCTCARAGGGAAGGAGAAAAAGAAAAAAATGCAAGTAAAGGGAGGCTGCACACACTCACCTTTTGTTTGTGTACATTTGTACATTGTTATAAAGATCGGATTCTACCTGGCAAATTTCCTGAGCGTGCCCTCCTCGCTCTGAACCCACTGGTTCCCGTTCCCAACACACAGCCCTGGGTGTTTTATCCATCTGAATTGCTCTTTTCCCAACTCCCTGCCTCTGCTGTGCCCCTGCAGCTGCTCCTGGATGCTGGTGCCCACGTAGAGGGCTCTGCTGTGAACACTGGCGAGGACAACTACGCCGAGACCCCTCTCCAGCTGGCCTCGGCTGCAGGTGAGCTCCCTGTGGCCTCAGCACGTTCCATCTCTTCTGCCACCAGCCTGATGGRCCCTGAGTGTTTGTTTTCCAGTTTGTCCCACATTTGCCCCATCCTCCCAGCCCCCCAGCTGAGCTGGTGGCACCGACTCCTTCTCAAAGCGCTGTCACAGAGCGTGAACCAGCCCCTGTCTGGTCTGGGCATGTCTGTGCACCCAAGCAACGCCCAGATGCGAAAAATTAACGAGTTCCAGTTCAGCCTGGGGAAAAATAACTGTCACATGAACAAATTGGGTGTATTGATTTATTAAATGCAAGTGAAGATTCTGCGTTTCTTCCAACGGGCTGACAGGAGTTGAGCATTCCGTGAACGAGTCTGTGTTTGTCAACGCTTTTCACCTCTAAAGTGGTTTTATTTTTTATTTTTTAGGTTTTAGGTTTTTTTCTCTTCGCTTCTTTCTGTGTTAATTTTGTGGTTTTATGGAGATGAAAGCCTGGCTTGCTCTGCTCCAAGTTTTACAGAAGGGATGGGTGCTGGATGTCCTGCATCACTCCGTGCTCCGTCTGACGGCAGCGGAGCGAGGCAGCCCTGCCYGCTGCCAGCCCTGTGTTTTGTGCTTCCAGACAGCAGCAGGATCCTGATGTTCCTGTCCTTTTCCCCCAGGGAATTACGAGCTGGTCAGCCTGCTGCTGAGCAGGGGCGCTGACCCTCTGCTGAGCATGCTGGAAGTCAACGGGATGTCATCGTCCCTCCACGAGGGCATGAACTGCTTCAGCCACTCGGCAGCACACGGGCACAGGTGAGGTTCTGCTCCTGCTCAGCAGGGTTTTTTTTTTTTTCCCCTGTAAGTGTTGCTGTGTGTCCTGTGTGACTTTGTGACCTGAATTCCTGCGTGACTTTGTGACCTGAATTCCTGCATGTGCGGTTCAAAAGATGGGGTTAAAACTCTCCTGACAACAACCAAAGATCTGTGTTCACTGTTTCTTATTCACACTTGCTGGTCTGGCTCTGCAGCACTGAGAGGGAGCAGGAGCTGGTTCTGGGCCCTACATCAGCAGATGAAGTCCCWCCTAATAAGGGCAGTTTATGGGATCAGGGCTGTGAGGTCCTGGTTTGTGTTCTGAGACAGAATCTAATCACACTGAGGTGAAAATAATCGACAAAATTCTACAAAAGTAATCTGCAGCAGAGCCTGCTCGGCTGCGTCTCTGGTTTTTGGWTGGCCAGCCAAGAGGTGAATCATGAACCAAGCCAGCCTTAGCTCTCCAGGCCTGTTTTCAGGACAGTTGTTCGTTATTTACAAGCTCATCCAGAAATCTTTCTGCTCCCAGAAGGAAATGTTAGTGAGATTCAAGGYTTATTCTTGGGATGGGGTGATCATAAAGCCTGAAATAAGCTGGGTTTAGCCCCAGGGAGCGRTGTGGCTGCAAGGAGAGCACCAGCTGTGGCAGCGCAGCCGCACAGCCGAGCTCTGGGTGGCCCTGCTGGGCTGGGGGTGGCCACAGCAGCTGTCCCCAGCTGGCTGAGGGACAGCAGTGCTGCAAACCCCCCGGAGAGGCCGGACACCAACAAGAAAGTCTTTTCCTTGCAGCCACCGTGTGAAATCCCAAACAAACCCGCCACACGAGGAGTGCAGCCCGCCCTTTTGCTGCCGGGGTGCCACTTTCTAGGATATGGGATGGGACAAGGGCTTTCAGTCTCTGGGAAGGAAATTATTGTTCACTGAGCCGGCTGCCTCACCCCAAACCCCCTCAGTCCTGTCTGGGTTGTTGATATTTCATTTACTGATCGGCCAAACGCGGTGTCCCTCCTCAGGAACGTCCTGCGCAAGCTCCTGACGCAGCCCCAGCAGGCCAAGGGCGATGTGCTGTCCCTGGAGGAGATCCTGGCCGAGGGCGTGGAGAGCGACACGTCCAGCCAGGGCAGCGGCAGCGAGGGCCAGGTGCGGCTGTGCAAGACACGGACCAAGGCGCTGCAGGAGGCCATGTACTACAGCGCCGAGCACGGCTACGTGGACATCACCATGGAGCTGCGGGCGCTGGGTGAGCCCTTCCTCCTTGCCTCCTGAGGCACAAAAGTCTTCCTTTTCTGTCCCTCTCACTCAGGAGTGCAGTATCCCCAAGTGCAAAGCTGTGTAATGTAAATTTAGAAAGCATTTAAAGCTCCTTGTAAGATTTTTTCTTTTCAAATTCCTGCTGCTCTGTGATGTCCCCTTGGCTGAATCCTGTCCCCACATAATAAGAGCAAGGGGCATCTCYCCCTGTCAGACACTGACACCTAAAACTCAGTCTATTTTCCGTAGTTTAAGGTGAAGGAACAGATCAGGTGTCAAAGAGGATGAGAGAAGCTTCAAATTTCCCATGTAACCAACAGAAAAGACCTCGCACCACATTTGTGTGGGGTTACGTATTCTCACAAGTTCCAGTTTATTTTGTGGTTCTGACTAATTGTGAAGCTCARAACAAAACAGGGAGTTTCTGGTCCTTAACAATCAGCAGGGAGTTCCAGTTTGTGCTCCTGGTACCAATCCTTTGTCCCTTAATCTGTTGATGATTCAGTGACCCAGTTCAGTCACCTTTAATACCAAGATAAAAATGTATCTGCTRTTCGGGTGCAGGTAGAGCTGCTTCAGTGCTGCCAAGTGTTAGTAACAGGAGCAGGAAAATCTCCTCACAGGCACTTCAGGAAATCATCTTCCCCTGTCCCTTTTTTCTGGGGCTGCAGGAGTGCCCTGGAAGCTCCACGTGTGGATCGAGTCGTTGCGGACGACCTTCTCCCAGTCCCGCTACTCCGTGGTGCAAACCCTTCTCCGGGAGTTCGTCACCATCAAAGAGGAGGATTACAAYGAGGAGCTGGTCAGCGAGGGGCTGCAGCTCATGTTTGACATCCTCAAAACCAGCAAAGTAAGTCAGAGTTTTAGAGCAGTGTGAGAGCTGAGTGTTGTGGGATTTTCTTTGTTGTTGTGCACGGCAGGAACAAGGGAATGGCTGGGCAAAGTCCCTGAGGAGTTATGGCATGGGAGTGGCCCTGGGAGCATTTGTCTGAATTCATGTACAGCCCCCAAAACAGTCCTCAAATACACACCTGGGGGAAGCTGTACAGCTCATGATACCTCCATAACTCCAAATATATTGTAATTCCATAAACGAAAGCTGTCCCTGTGTGGGGAGGGTGCAGTTGCTGTAAGCCCCAAGTGAACCGTGACAGCTCAATGTGAAACCTGCTCCATGTGGAGCTGCTGATCCCTGTTCCATCCTCCTCACAGAACGATTCCATCAACCAGCAGCTGGCATCCATCTTCACCCACTGCTATGGCAGCAGCCCCATTCCCAGCATTCCCGAAATCCGAAAGACTCTGCCAGCTCGCCTGGGTAAGGAGCTCACCTGAGCAGTGAGGCTTTTTTCATTGCTGCTGTTTTGCTTGTTGGTTTGTTTGGGTTTTTTTTTTTTCCTAAAAAGTATGCACAGTTTCCAGAAAAGCAGTCAGCTTTTATTTTTTTTTTTGTCCCCTTCCCCAACAGACCCTCACTTCCTGAACAACAAAGAAATGTCTGATGTAACTTTCTTAGTGGAAGGAAAGCTCTTCTATGCACACAAAGTCCTGCTGGTTACTGCATCTAACAGGTGAGTCACTGAGCATTAATTAATTAATTAATCTAACCCTAATTATCCCTAAAATCATGTGGGGTGACTGGAGTGCACATATCCAGCCATTCCCATTCCTTCTCCCGGAGTTCACAGGGAGAGCTGCACTTGCTCCAGTTTTCCTGGAATCTCACACTGGCCTGGTGTACTCGTTATCATCTCTTTCTCTTTTATTCTCACAATGACAGGGTCTTCCAGCTGTCACAGGGTGGGATTAGATCAGATCCAAGCAATTTACAGGTTAAATTGTCCCTGAACTAATCATCATTAAACTGAAGGAAATGTTTCAGTTTTGAAAAGAAGCGAAAGGAAATATGGCTTYATTTCCTTTAAGGGGATCTTTGTTTTCCCTTTGCTCAGGCTGTTTGCGAAGAGTGTGTGATACACTAAAACAGTTAAATTAAATCTCTTTAATTAAATCTGCTAAAACCATCCCCAGGTTCAAGACACTGATGACCAATAAAACAGAGCACGATGGSCACGGCAGCAAGACTGTAGAAATCAGCGATATGAAATACAACATTTTCAAGGTATGGGACTTGCTCCCCTTTTTCTTTCTCCTTTTTCATCTTCTCACCCTCTTGGAAGGTAAGACAAACCCAGGGAGTAACATAYACGTAGAAATGGAGTTCCTTTCAACACACCTGAATTTCTGGAGTATTCTGAAACATCTTTTTTCCGAAGTTCCAGCCTTAAAAAAGAACCCTCCAGTCCATATTCTTATTTTTTGACTAGGCAGCTGACTCCTCCATAAAGCAGGGGAAAAGAGTCTGCTACTGAAAAGCAGTTTTGTACTTTTAGCACATCATTTTCATACTTTTTAGAGCACCATTTTCACGCGATTCTAAGCAAAAAAGTACTTATTTACAGCAGGTGGATTGCCTGGCTTCTTATTAAATCAGGTGATCAGAAATCGATGGTGCCTGTCAGACAAAGGCTCAGAACTGAGAATTGTGCTTCGTTTTTGTGACATTTCCATATTTTAGTGGAGGAGCAGGGAGGTGTGAAATGCAGAACAGGTCGTGCAGATGTTTCTCTAAAGGCTTGAGGCTTTTCCTTTTTTTGTAAGCAAACCAAACTGATCTGTTGGTCAGCAGTGCTGTTACATCAGGAGATGGAAGTAAGCTGACCATAAAAACATCTTTTCTGTGCTTCAAAGGGGCTGCACAAGTTTTGTATTGCATAGGTGACGTTCAGACCTTCCTGCTCAGGCCATGACGGAGAAGGAAACGCAATCGAATATTAAAAGAAGCTCCTTGTGCATCAAAAGGCTTCTAGAGATAAACTTGTGCTTCRGTGGAGAGACAGAGAGACAAATCAAACAGTGAGACAGTGAAATACTTCACAGTTAGATGGAAAATACAGTCAGATTAGTTAAGGAGAGGCACTCTCAGGTAGAGTGGAGGATGCTGAGCCACCAGAGATGTGTGTCCAGYTCRGGGCTCTGCTGGGAGCTCTGGTGTMATTCTTTYATACTAATAMGGCAATCTTGCAAKTTGCAGCTCAGTTTTGTTGCCAGCCCTGTGAGWAATGGCAATCACAGCCTGCAGACCCCACACAGCACCCAGGGCACTCCAGATCCAGTCCCTCCCTTTCCCAGCCCTGTGAGAAATGGCAATCACAGCCTGCAGACCCCACACAGCACCCAGAGCACTCCAGATCCAGTCCCTTCCTTTCCCAGCCCTGTGAGAAATGGCAACCACAGCCTGCAGACCCCACACAGGAGCACTCCTGCTCCAGCCCCAGATCCGGCAGCGCTGCTCGAGCTGGGGGTGAGCACACACGGATCAAAGAGCAGGACCTGCCCCTCAGATTCTGCAAACAATTTCTGCCTTTTCCTCCGGGCCTGGAGAGGGGCTGGAAGCCGATTAGAAGCCCAGCAGGGGAGGCAAGTGGCCGGGAGGTCCCCGGGACTGGCTCCGAGCGTGATCCGCCTGCCGGGCTCTGCAAACCCGCGGCCCAGGCAAGGACGGTGGCGTTGCTCAGAGACGCTGTCACCCCCAGCCCAAAAATCCCCAGCAGGGCCCTTTTCAGMGAGAAAGGGCTGTCGGAAAGCAGAGATTTGCCACGCTGGGGAATAAAGGAAAAGCCGCCGGTGGAGTTGGGAGCGGGCGCAGGACGCGATTCCCGTCTGCTCAGGAAGGGGAGCGCAGCCATCAACAGCCCCTGGGGGCTGCAGCGATAACTTCATGCCTGGCCTTCTTCCCATTCCAGATGCTGATGCAGTATTTGTACTAYGGAGGGACAGAATCCATGGAAATTCCCACCACTGATATCTTAGAGGTGAGAGAGCTTTTTCTGCCGAGCCTTGCCGAGTGCGCTGGGGCATAAAACGGTTGGAAGGTAAAATGCAGGAGCTAACAGCAAGCTCCCACTCTGTCCAGGAGCACACTTAGGGCTTGGAAGTGAGCTTAAAAGCTTCAAAACATCATTGCTTGGTGTTTCTGTGTCTTGGGGACAGAAAGGAGTGGGAATGTGTTTGTAGGGGAAGCGCTGAGGGGAAATGTGTCAGTCTGTCACTTCAGCACGGAGTGGCCTTTCTGCTGTTTCATGAGGGCTTGGCCATTGAGTCAGAGACTCTTTAGAGAGGAGATCACCCATCCTGTTTGCCTTCCCCAGGCYTTTCAAGGCTCACAATCTCAAATGGCCTCTCTCTTGTGCCCGTAGCTGCTGTCRGCTGCCAGCCTGTTCCAGCTGGACGGCCTCCAGAGACACTGTGAAATCCTCTGTGCCCAGACCATCAGCATGGACAACTCTGTCAGCATCTACAAATATGCAAAGGTAAATCCAACCTCCCCAGTTTAGGAATCCCAGTGAGCAGCCTGTGTGCCCCTGGTGGTCAGGGGATGCCCAGTCTGCAGAGAACTCTGCCTGGGAACTGATTCCCGGGAAAATTCCAGCTCCAGGCTGACAGTCCTGCGTGGCCCCAGTGTGTTTTCCTGTCTGAAGCACTCATGGATGAAATGGATGAGGGTCCCTGCCGAGCAGGGGAGAGCTGGCTGAGCAGGCTGATGCATCAGCATCTGCAAACCCAGAGGGATTGAGATCCTGGGAGCAGTGGGGCAATGGATCACAGTGCAGCAGCTACGGAATAAACCCTTCCCCAGCACCCCTGCTGCTGCTAGAAAATGTTATTTTCAGCCCCAGAATGAGCATAAACGCTGCTGTGTGATGGATTTGCACCTCTGCAGCAGATAACCTAAACCACAGAGAAATTCTCTGCTCTTGCTGGCATTTTGCAGGATCAGATCCCTTAAAGACAAGGAGGAAGCTGCACRGAGGGCTGGTGGTGATTTTGTTTCACTTTGTGTGTAGTGTCACACTGATTCTTTTCAATTCCTCTCACACTGGGCTGGTTTGTTTCAGACCTAACATTTAACAGGATGCAGCAGTAAAAAGGRGAAACAGCATTCCCTACTGGCCTTTGTGTACTTTTCCTAAAATTATTATTTGCACAAAGTTCCCGGGAAGGCRCCRTGTGAGCACAGAGCTTCTTAATACYGAACTTRAATTTCRTTGTTCTCATTACTRACTTCCCCCACTGATCCTGAAGGAAAAGGAGCCCAGATCCCAGGCAGAAGCCACCTGATGGTGGCTCAGGAGCCCAGATCCGTGTTTCCCTGTGCTCAGGAGGGATGGAGCTCCCTGGCTGGAGGGATGGGGCTCCTGTGAGCCGTGCCCCAGTGGCCCCGAGCCGTGCTCACCATCTGCTGGTGCGRCGGCCACTCAGCCAAGCAGGTACCTTGGCCACCTCGGCAGCCAGCTGCTCTGCCGCACCAAGGGAAGGGAAGGGAAGGGCTGGAGTGCCCTGCCAGCAGCAGGGAAGGAATTAAAACAGCCTGGATGCCTCCCTGCTCACGCCCGTGCCCGTGAAAACACCCCGGGAAGAGATCAAAGTCCTGCGTTCAGTGCTTTTCCACCGTCAGTCCTGTCYTTTTTCTGCCTGATAATATTAAAAGGGGAAAAACCTTTAGGGATGAGAGGCTCAGGGGTATCATTTAGGGCCGTGGCATTCAGAAGAAGTTCACAACCCCTCTGTGTTCTGCAGATTCACAACGCACCGGAGCTGGCCTCTTTCTGCGAGGGCTTCTTCCTCAAGCACATGAGCTCCCTGTTGGAGCAGGACTCATTCAAGCAGCTCATCTACGGCAGGAACAGCAAAGTGCAGGGCCTGGACCCGCTGAGGGACCTGCAGGCAGCGCTGGCCGGCCGCTTGCACTCTGTGTACGTCACCTCCAGGGTGTGAGCGGGCACAACGCGGAGGGGGCATCACTGGGATGGTTTTGCCTTCTGGATCTTCCTGAAAAGCCCCAGGATGGGCATCCCTGGGGGCTGAGGGAGGGGGAGCTGCCTCCTCCGTGCTGCTGCTGTCACATGAACCACACTGCCACGGGGAGGCTGCRGGGGAGCCCCCGAACCACAGAGATGGGCGCTGCGGGGCTGCAGAGGAAGAGGCGATTTCATCCAGCCCGGCGCTAATACCTGGGCTTAGCTTCATCCACACAGATGTTTTCCGGGTAAAAAGGCTGCCTGGAAGGAGTTTTCCTGATCCTAAAGCCCATCCCACGAGCCATCTGCCTGCACACCTTCAGGAGCATCAGTGTCTGTGCATCGCAGCGGAGCGACGGGAGCTTCCCCCAAAACTGTTTGCACCTTGAGAGAGAGGTTTTGGTTGTTCAAAGCTGAGTAGCAACTAACACTAACACTGAAATTACTCACTCTTTAAGGCTTGTGTGAAGAGCTGAGCTGGGGCAGGGAGGGGAGAGTTGGGGGTTTGCGTGTTTTTACAGTTTCACTGTGCCAGTTGTTAACCTGGATCTGTTTCCAGGAGGAAAACAAAGGCTGTCTTTGCTTTTGCTGTCAAGGTTTGATAGTCCCAGTCACTTTCACCTTAAAAACCGTTTCTGAGCATTACCTGTGAGACCTGACACCACAAAAGACACTTCCTAGAAGGCTCAGGTGTAGCAGGCTGAAAAACTGCCCAGTTGCAAAAATAGCAATAAAAGGCTCCCCAGGCCCCYGAGGAATGTCCATCTCAGTGGTGTGTTCTCTCTCTGGAGCTGGTTGGGATTAAGGAAAGACCTCCAGCTATTCCCACTGAGCTTTGCTCGGATTTCCACCAGGAATCATTTGCCAGGACGTTTCCATTTGTTGTGGGTGGGTGAACAAGGGGAGAAGGATTTTTTCCTCGTTAGAAATCCAGCAATTAATTCGTGTTGCATCTAAACGCCCCGGCAAGAGGAGGAGGCTCAGCTGGGCTCCAAAGCACAGCCCAGCCACAGTTTAGGGAAAGGGAAGGAACTGCAGCAGCTCCCAGAAAATCCATCAAAATCTGACGTGGCCTTGTTCCTGAGGGATTTGCACACATGGAGAAGGGTTTTTAGCCAGGTTGGTCAGGGCACACTCCTTTTGGGTGCACATCTGCTGGCCACCAGCAGCCCCAATAACCCTATTTATTACCAGAAAGCCATACAGGGGGGTCGGAATTATCGCTGAGAAATGCCACAGAGAAGGCTTTATTTTGGAAAGTATTTTCGAGTAGCTGCTCYGGCTATCTGTACAAATCTGCAGGTCCTCTTTGGTTGCTGTAATATTACAATGCTCTGTTTAATTGTACATTAATGTTGTCATTTATGTAAATGTACCGGGATTTTATTAACAACGTAATTTTAAAATACACAGCTGTTGTTGTTTATTCTGCTCCTCTAASTAAGTCAGGGGAAAAAAGTGTTTAAAGACACTTATGTGGAATAGGCTGTCGCAGTTTTGGCATCTTAATTTGATTCTGGTTTAAATATGTCTAATTTTAGGGATRCAGGGCCATTCGTTTCCCCTTCCCAGGCTCAGACATTTTTGTGAAGTTACAAAGTTTAACTTGCATTTTTCCCTAGCTGGAGTAAGATTACCTGCTTTCCATCAGAAGGCAGCAGATTGCAGTGTCAAAAAAAAMCCCAAAACCTAAATTCCAGGATTCTTCTCTGCAGCAGGAAAAACAGTGAGGGTTAAAGCAACTCTTACCCCAGAGGTATTAAAAAAAAAAGCAGGTGATCCTTCCCATCCACATCACCCCAAAGGCCAGAAGGGCTCTGGTTGGTGCTCTGAGGGAGGGTTGATGTCACAGCAARGGACTCACCTAAGAGGTAAGAAGCATAAAAGTTAAAGAGCAAGAATTTGACACAAAAGTATCTTTATTTTTTTTTTCTTTTTTTTTCATTCTTTTTGGAAACCCGCCAGCACAAACAGTGACTCGTTCTCAGGAATGGTGGAACACAAACACCTCAGATTCCCTTTGGAGCACTTTAATGAGCAGGTTAAACAGAAATTCCTTGTGAAACCAGTTGCACGCTGCCCTTGGAGCCTGAGAAAGCGCCCGAGCAGTTTGCCCAGMGCTGGGGAAGCGCAGAACTTGTGTGTCCATAATGACATCATGGCAGGGAGCAGAGGAAATAAACAGCTGCCTCAACAGGCTCGGTGACTTCCAGCCTGAAATAAAGGCCTTTTTTGCTCTCTAATAAGGCTCTGCACAGCAGGCAGGCCCTGGCTAATGCAGCAGCAGTGCTCAGAGACCCTTTGCCCTCACCAAATGCTGCCCGGGCAGGCAGACACCGCTCCCTGCACCTGCYGGGGACAGCGGGGACAGAATCCCTGAGGAATGGGAGCAGCAGGCRCGGGAGAGGGCTCCAGGGCTGGGTCTGCCTCCCCAGGGCAGGGCTTGAGCCTGAGGGAGACATTAATCCACACAAGGTTTGACTTGGTGCAAGGGCGGAAAAAAAGGTGTCTGTGATAATGATGAAAAGTGGCAGCAGAGCAGGGRAAAAGGAGCAGTGCACCCAGAGCTGGAGTCATCACAGTGCTTAGTTTATAGTCTAAATCTATTCCTGCCATTCCGGGCACAGGATTTCACCCAGTGATCCTCTCTCCCTGCTTAGCTCAAACTGGAGAAGRTTTCCCGTGTCCCTTTCCACCTCTCTCGCACCCACACAGAGCCCTGCCCTGAAACCACACCAAGACAGGCAAACAAAAATCCAGCTCTGGGAGGATGGAAAAAACTTCCCAAAGGAACATCACAACAACCAGGTGGAAAGGACACACCGTCCTGCTGCCCGTTCTCCCCAGCGATGCTCCGGGATGTGCGACCTGGGCTCCCCCGGTGCTGCTTCCTCCCGGGACACGGCGGAGCTCAGCCGGCTCCAGCTGTCGGAAGAGCTCAGGGCTCTCATTCCGGTGACAAGTAGGTCACATCGCTGCTCAGCCAGACACAGCGACCGCCTTTGCCTCCGATCAGCCACAGGAGCCCGGCCCCGCGGGCGAGGGGTGAGCGGTGTGGAGTGGCCGGACGGCGAGCTGGAGGRTGTGGAATGGGTCAGGGATGGATGCTCCTGGCTAGCGGGATGTACAGAGCCCTGTCCTGTCCCCGCTCCGGCCGGCTCAGCCGGGGATTAAAGGCGCGCTCCGCAATTAGCGGCATTCCCGTCTGATCCAGGTCCGCAGCTCATCCCTCGTCCGTGGCCTTCTCTCTGCTTGTCCCTCCTTGGTATAACAAAAAAAATCCTTTCCCTAATGCATCGGAAACATCCCTTCTGGAGTGGGGAATACAGCTAGGAACTGTGGGGTCGTGAGGTTATCCAGGAGAGAAAAACAAAGGGCAGACATGAGGGAATAGGCTCCCAATTAATAATGATTTGATGGATGTAGGAATGGTTCTTGTATGTTTGACACTCCTCGTTTCATTCCTGGACGAATTTTACTTCTTTTTYCTTTAACRCATGATCTAAATTTGAAAGKAAACAATGCAAAACAAATGCARGGAGAGATCATGGAATCAACATGGRATGGTTTGRGTTGAAAGCCCCATYCCTGAGCCTGTCCCAGACAGGCTCCTGCCCATCTGCTACAGGTCACAGGTGGGTGTGGAAGTGATGGGAATGCTGGGTTTTAGGGAATGTTGTTTAGGGAATGTTGATTGTTCTTCCTTTGCTYCCACAATCTGGTCAGTAAAAATACTGACTCTTGCAGCAGGGAAACACTTTCAAGCAAGAGGTGCCAAAAAGAACWGGAGTTTCTGGTTTTCAGTCTCCAATTTAAAATCCTCCTTGGATTGTCACCAGTCTGACTTCCTTGGACTGGTCACCTTGGCCAGGAGTGTCCAATCCTGCGTTAGCAGCGTGGGTCCCAGGGCGTCACTCTGGGGTGGATGCTGTAGGGGACAAAGAGAACATTTTGGGGTAAAATCTGWGTTAATCTGTAGGAGATTCAATGAAGTGATCGGTCCTCTTCGAAGGAACCAACTCGGGCTGCTTCTGTGTTGCTCTGAATAAATTTCTTTATGGAACGAGGCACCTGAGAGTGCTATGGGAATACTGGGATGGAGCCAGGAAGGAAACCTGATCTGAGTGTGGGAATGGGATTGGGAGGGTCAGGCRGGACCCCCGTCAGTCACTGGAGCCTCCTCCATGAAGAGAACGTACAACGATGTACAAGGGGAATATGTTAATTGTAGGATTATCTATAGGGATGTATAAGGTACGTATTGATTGTAGGATTTTCTATAGGGATAGATAAGGAACATATTGATTRTRGGATTATCTRTAGGGATAGATAAGGAACATATTGGTTATAGAATTTTCTATAGGGATGGATAAGCCCTATACTGATTATAGGGCTATCTATAATGATATATAACAGCTCTGTATAAGGATCGTATAATGAGATATATGAAAAATCCTCTGTTGTCATCCTTCTCCCAGCTCCACTGTCCTTTTAGGATCTTGGAGAAATACTTTGKGTCCGGACAAGGCTCTAAGGCACAGGGTGGGATTCTTGGGGTGTCCTGAGCAGGGCCAGGATCTGGACTCGATGCTCCTTGTGGGTCCCTTCCAGCTCAGGATATASTGTGATCCTGTCCCTTTGAGGGTGAAATAACGGGGATCAGTGGGGTTTTTGCCACTGATTTTTGTGTTCACGGAGCCGCTGGGTCAGGGCTGGGGAAAGCGGAGCTGCCCCGAGGCTCCCGGGCCGGGGCGGTGCTGCCGCCCTGTGGGGAACACCCGGCACTGCAGCCTGGAATGGCGCTGAACACGGGATGGGCGGGGATCGGCACCCAGGGAACGGGGACACCCGGGGTACTCTGCAACACATCCCTGATTGGTGTAGGGAAAGGAAAGATCTGGGTTAATGGGGTACCCGGGGTACTCTGTAACAGAACCCTGATGTGTAGGAAAGGGAAAGGTCTGGGTTAATGGGGTACTCTGTAACAGAACCCTGATGTGGTGTGGGAAAGGGAAAGGTCTGGGTTAATGGGGTACCCGGGGTACTCTGCAACACATCCCTGATATGGTGTSRGAAAAGGAAAGGTCTGGGTTAATGGGGTACCCGGGGTACTCTGCAACACATCCCTGATATGGTGTCAGAAAAGGAAAGGTCTGGGTTAATGGGGTACCCGGGGTACTCTGCAACACATCCCTGATATGGTGTCAGAAAAGGAAAGGTCTGGGTTAATGGGGTACCCGGGGTACTCTGCAACACATCCCTGATATGGTGTGGGAAAAGGAAAGGTCTGGGTTAATGGGGTACCCGGGGTACTCTGCAACACATCCCTGATTGGTGTGGGAAAGGAAAGGTCTGGGTTAATGGGGTACCCGGGGTACTCTGCAACAGAACCCTGATTGGTGTAAGAAAGGAAAGGTCTGGGTTAATGGGGTACCCGGGGTACTCTACAACACATCCCTGATATGGTGTCAGAAAAGGAAAGGTCTGGGTTAATGGGGTACCCGGGGTACTCTGCAACACATCCCCGATGTGGTGTCAGAAATGACATCCCGCTCCAAAGCATGTACAGCAGGATTGCACACTCCTGGCCAAGGTGACCATCCAAGGGGGATTTTAAATTGGAGACTGAAAATCAGAAACTCCGGTTCTTATCAACATCTCTTGCTTAAATGTTTCCTTAAAGAGGTCAATTAGTATTTTTAAAGACCAGATTGACGAAGCAGGGAAAAACAACTCGCTCCTGGTCTTCCCATCTCGGAAGGTTCCTTGTGTTTGTTTCAGCCTCAGAGACTCCTGTGAGGAGATTCCACAGACACAAATCAAGATCCCAGACCCAGAGTTGTCCATGGAGGGGGAGAAGTGTTGGCTCCTCCGGTGAAATTTCATCATGTGCACGACATAAAAAACATTGGTACCCCTTCAAAATCACCTTGAGCTGGTGCTGCAGCAATGAAGAACTGATTTTCCATGTTCAGGGGCAGGCTGTGAAACCTTAAATTGCACATTTGTCTGGAGGCTGGGATTCCAGCAGGGAATGAGCCTCGTGTGAGTGCAAACCCAGTGTGGGACCGGGCAGATTTCCACTGGGGGAAGCTCTTGCTTTATTCCTTGGCAGTTTTTCCTCTGGAACATTAAATGAAGAGGGAGGCCTTGTCCTTAATCCAATTACCACAGGGAAGCAAATCACTGTTTCGTGTTTACCAGCTGCGAGMAAAACTATTCCAGGGAGCAGCGCTGAAAACCTGGGAGCTGCTGCTGCTTCGCCACACGGTGTCAGCAGCAGAGAGAAAACACAAAACKTGCGTCCAAAAACACGGGTAAAGCCATTCCTCCTGCTTTTCGTGGGACCAGGGATAATTCTGCCCTGGAATGACAAAGAAYTTCTCCCTCAGAGCCCTCAGAGAGAGCCCTCGAAAAGCCAAGGTGCAGGAGGGAGGRAGGGAGGGAAGAAATGGGGTCAAACCTTTTGTTCCATCGGCCTCATGCCCCAACTTCCAACAGGACGGACGAGTCCCTCTCCTTGGAAGGCAACTGAGCCTTTCCCAGCTTTTGGTGGCCGCTGTCTCCATCCTTCCACTCCTTCTCCTTGGCAGGGTTGGCTCCTTAAGGTCTCTTCCCACCCAAACCATTCCAGMATKATTCCATGATCTCTCCACSCATTTRTTTTGCATAGTTTCCTCTCCAATTTAAATTCTCGAATTTAAATTCTCGAATTTACATCATCTGTTAAAGGAATCACTTCAAAATTATTCCAGGAATGAAAAGGGGAGCTTCAAACATAACAGAATCATTCCTACACCTATCAAATCCTTATTAACTGGAAGCCCATTCCCTCATCTCTCTCCTTGCTTTCCTGGAAAACTTTGTGATTCCAGAGTTTCTCAGAGAGATCTGCTGGTATAACTGGAATTTTCGCTCTGTCAGAGAAACAGGAGGGGTAAGGACACTTGTTCCTCTGCATCTTTATCCTTTAACCAGGTTTTCCTCCGCCAGGACATCGATCCCCGCGCCGGGATACGGAGCCCTCTCTGGAACACCGATCCATTTGTCGGGAAACCGATTGTCCCGGTGCTGTCCCGGTCCCGGTGCTGTCCCGGTGCTGTCCCTGTCCCGGTCCCGGTGCTGTCCCGGTCCCGGTGCTGTCCCGGTGCTGTCCCGGTCCCGGTCCCGGTCCCGGTGCTGTCCCGGTGCTGTCCCGGTCCCGGTGCTGTCCCGGTCCCGGTGTTGTCCGGGTCCCAGTGCTGTCCCGGTCCCGGTCCCAGTCCCGGTGCTGTCCCGGTGCTGTCCCGGTCCCGGTCCCGGTGCTGTCCCGGTGCTGTCCCGGTCCCGGTGCTGTCCCGGTCCCGGTTCCGGTGCTGTCCCGCTCCCGGTGCTGTCCCGGTCCCGCTCCCGGTGCTGTCCCGGTCCCGGTCCCGGTGCTGTCCCGCTCCCGGTCCCGGT